TTTACAAAATACACGTAGTTTTTAATAAGCGTTGTGATGAAACCGGGAAGATGAATTTCGCTGGATTTCAGTTGAGTGTGTTACACACCATCTTCGCTAGCCAAGGGTTTCCGATTCGAAATCTGTTGTAGAGTACGAGGGTCGTTCAATAAATAATGCAACATGTCATCTAAAAGTAGGAAAAGTACGTAATACATATTCTTAAAAGTTTTAATCCCTAAATGCATTCCCTGTTACCAGTTACATGTGTCTTAAGTCTTTGAATCCATGAACAGAAATCCTCAGCATACTTATCTTTAAGGATACCCCAAAGCCACTGAGAAATATCACTTCCCATGGCATATCTAACATTGTAAAATCTTCCTTTGCTTGTTTTCATGTGTTTTGGGGACGAAAAGATCTCACAGTGACTGCGATTTAACTAATATGGGTCATTGAAAAGTCCTGTATACTTTCTTCTCTTCAAAATTTTATTTTTTCTCTAAGAGTATATCCAGCTGCGTTGTTCAGCACAGAAAAAATACCATGGTACCGAATTTTGGACTTCCTTTGCAAAAAAATCTGTTCAACTTTCCTTTATGCGATTTGAAGATAAAACTTACTATTGCTAGTCCTTCATTTGGATGTATGTTCATGTTTTAATGGACTTCTTTAGATACATGAAAACTAATAAAACGTGTTTGCAGCCATTACTTCACTTTATCTTAATTAAATGACACCCTTTTTTTTGATTCCTCATATTTTATCATTAATCATATTTTACGACTATAATAAGAGCACCAATGTTTCGTCATACATAAAACAAGTTTATCAATTCTTCAATTTTGTTTAAAAATGTGTTTTTAAGTAAAACCGTATGCACATTTAACGAATGTTCTCTCTTGGACTTTTGTGAGAAAATAGGGCACCTATCTGATTGAAATATTGTTATAAGTTGTTCCTTTGTCTGAATTCTACAAAATGCTGTGACGATTTAATGTTAAGTATTTTAACAAAGTCTTTCCATGTAAATATAGCATTTTCAAATTACATGTGGCACATAAAGTCGATATTTTGTGATGTTCCCACAAATTTCAATTGACCATATTAATGTTATATTTGAACCTTTGTTTTTTTTCTTCTGAATTATTGAATCCATCTGAAAAGTATATAGCCTTAAAGAATATTTTTTTCCACTTATAAAAAAATTATCTTAAATATGAGGTTTGTGGCGATTGATGTAAAAAGAGCAGTTTTCAAATACCCACTATTTTCATCTTCTTGGCGGAGATCATTTATAAACAGTTTTCAGCTCAGTGTTGTGACCAGGCTTACTTTAAAAATGAATTTCTTTGCGAAGACACTATGAAAATTCGTGGGGTTTTCTGTGTTTAGTTGATCTAAAATAGAACGTTTCAAATATGAAAAAATAAAATCAAATGCCCCAACATTTATTATGATATACTGAGTATTGCATTACTTTTTGAACGACCCTCGTAGATTTCGAATCGGAAACCCTTGGCTGGCGAAGATGGTTACAAACTTGAACTCAGAACTGACCATAAAAATGTTTCAAATTTAAATCAACTTCCATGCGAATTTGATTGACACTGAGGTGATGCACGAAGGTTTCGTGCGTACAGGTACAGAGAACGAATGTGCAATAGGGTTGAACAGTTGAATATGAACCAAAGTTGTGGAAATGAAAAATTATTAGAATTATTAATTGTGAATTCAATATAATTATACGGTACATATATTTTTTCACAGATGTACATGTATGTCAGTTACACGGGGTTTCATGAGTCTCTCTGATCTCTCTCTCTCTCTCTCTCTCTCTCTCTCTGATATTTATTTTTACACACTTTGCAAAAAAGAATAACTTATAAAAATAAATACATGTACTTACCTGTACGTACCTGGGTCAGGGATACCGAAATGGGGAAGGGTCGGGGGGGGGGGGGGCTCTACTTATATACTAAAAATGAATTGTTTGAAATCTGCTCTTTGGTATTAATCAAACATTTTTGATAAGCAAGTGTGCCTTTTCAAAAATTGTGCAATGTGTAGACCTAGGGTCAGGGGTTCATGTATGGTAGAAGCACTCCTGATTATTGCTGAATATTACTGATTAGTTGACATACTTTTTTGTTCCCCTACCCTGCTTATCGGTATTAAGTAAACAAAATAAACAATTGCTAAGTGTATAGTTATGATTAGCAATGGTGCTTCTTTCAAAATTGTGAATGCCATAGCATCTAGCTTAAAACACGAACCAAATTCAATCATTTGAAAGTTGTTGCATGATGCTCAGGTGACCTATAAGGCCCATGGGCCTCTTGTTATTTGAATAATGCAAAAATTTTCAAAATTCGATATCTTTTCAAAACCCCTGGTAACACATGCTGATTTTTTGTCTAAAAACATGTAATGATAATATTATAAGTTTAAATTTAGAATATCTTGGAAAATTATCAGTAGGTAAGGTACGTTGCCTATGTCCTTAAAATGTAATTTTACC